AGTTTACGCCCATTGCTTCTAGTTCTATCCTTAGAGGCTAAGATGAACAAGTTTTCTCCCTCCTCTTTAGGACACCCTTTTAGATACCTATTCTAGATATGTATTCTAATGTTACATCTGTGACTGGCGCAGTCCTCACAGCTGAAGGGCCCCTCCCCCCCCGGAGACCCTGCTGGCATGCTCTAAAAGGTACCTAGGTCACATTAACAAACTAGATTATCTTTTAGAGCACACCAGCAGGGTCTGCACCGTGCAGTTAGAGCACTTTACAACACACACACACACACACACACACACACACACCACTTTACTGCCCTGTCTAGACAAGGCCTGAGCTCTCTGTAAGGCACTGGGCTTAGCCCTGCGTGACATTCCGATTAAAACCCCATATCCAGCATTCTGCAAAACCAGTGTCGCCTGGGTTAAACTCTGAGTAAATGAGAGATCTCAGAAAGTAATTGTAAGTGGGAAGCGTCATCCACTGGGGGTGTTTCTGGTGGGGTCCAATGCCATTCAATATCTTGATCAATGATCGGGAAGAAAATGTGAAATCCTTGCTGGTAAAATTCTCAGAACTGGTGGAGTGGTAAATAACGATGGGACAGGTCAGTTCTACAGACCGGCCTGGATCGCTGGGTAAGGGGCCCCGCAAACAACATTCACACGAATACAGCTGCAGGCAAGGTCAGACCTCTAGGAACTGAGTGTAGGTGTCACACTATCTAGATTTCAGAGGGGTAGCCATGTATCAACAAAAAGAACAGGAGTCCTTGTGGCACCTTAGAGACTAACACATTTATTTGGGCATAAGCTTTCGTGGGCTAGAATCCACTTCATCAGATGCATGGAGTGGAAAATACAGTAGGAATCTTAATCTTTCCCTGTTCGCTGTATACACAAAGTAAAACCATTTCCCCATGCTAATTTCCCCCCTACTGTTTCTCACACCTTCTTGTCAACTGTTGGAAATGGGCCATCTTGATTATCACTACAAAAGTTTTTTTTCTCCTGCTGATAATAGCCCACCTTAATTGATTAGTCTCCCTGCCCCAGCCCGGAGTCCCCTCCCACACCCAAACTCCCTGCCCCAGCCTGGAGTCCCCTCCTGCACCCAAACTCCCTCCCAGAGTCCACACCCCCAACCCCAGCCTTAAGCCCCCTCCTGCACCCAAACTCCCTGCCCCAGCCCTGAGCCCCCTCCTGCACCCAAACTCCCTCCCAGAGTCCGCGCCCCCCAGCCCTGAGCCCCCT